CGTCCCCAAAAGCCTGGGCTCTTAACTGGTGCTAACTATAAAGTGGGTGGGACTTAAAATATTTTTTATTGAGGTGTAGTTAATATACAGCATTATATCAGTTTCAGATGCACAACAACACAGTGACTAAACTTTTTTATGCGTTGCGAAATGAGCACCACAGTAACTGAAGTTAAAATCTGTCACCATTTGTAGTTACCAAAAAGCTTTCTTCTGGTAAGTTTTAGGATCTGCTCTCTTGGCAGCTTTCCAATCCGCAACACAGTCTCGTTAGCTATAGTCACCCTGTGGTACGTTGCATCCTCGGGACTTACTTATTTTATAATGACGTTTGTGCCTTTTGCCGGGCTTTACTCGTTTCTCCGGCCCCTCACCCCCCACCTCTGGCACCCACCAGTTTGTTCACTGAACCAGTGATATTGGCGTGTTTGTGTGTGTGTGTGAAGTTTCTGTTGTTGCTGTTGTTGTTGTAGATTCCGCGTCCAAGTGAGATCCTAAGGTATTTCTTTTTCTCTGGCTTATTTCCACTCAGCGTAATGCCCTCAAGGCCCATCCCTGTGGTTGCAAAATGTTTGTTTTTCAATCACCATTGACACTGCCAGAAGCTGAGTGAGCCTGACCAGTGCCCTACAGCCATGAATACAGCGCCTTAGGAGGGAAAGCAAGATTCCTAGGAAGGGATTGGGGGGAAGGGAATGCCCTGGAGGGAGGGAGTAGAGGGAATAGTTGGAGGGCCCAGGCCTCTGGTAGGAGCAAGGTTCATGGGGTGAAAGTGGGGCACTGAGTCCCTGGTAAGAAGGGGCGGGCGGAAGGAGAGGGAGGGTGAGGAGGGGCTTCCCAGCAAATGTCTTCCCTTCTTTTGGACAACCTAGGCTAGTTCTGGCCTCCGCGGGGGCAGAGACATTTTAATCTTAACCTCCTCCCGTTTCTTCCCGTTACATCTAAGGGCATGTGGAGGTGATGCAGCTCCTTATAGAATACGGAGCCAGGCCCTGCCTGGTGACTGATGTGGGCTGGACCCCGGCTCATTTTGCAGCTGAGTCAGGCCACGTGAGTGTGCTCAAAATTCTCCATGCATTGCATGCGGCCATCGACGCCCCCGACTTCTTTGGAGACACGCCGAAGAGGATCGCACAGATCTATGGGCAGACCGCCTGTGTGGCGTTTCTGGAGAAGTAAGTTTCCTCTATTTCCGGCTAGAGAAGTGGCAGAGAAACAGGAGCCTGTGATCAAGATATCTGCCAACTCAGTGGTCTCGGCTCCGTCCAAGGGAATGAGCAAATTCAGCTAACAGTCGTCTGAGTTGGTTTTATGAACTTTTCACAGAAATGACTAGTTTGGGTGGAAGCGACATTGCTGCAGATTATGTGAAATCTATTGCTTTTGTATTATACCAAAATTATAGTTATTTTAATGATACATATTTATAATAATGTTAACAACATCTCATTGTTATAATTACTATTTTAGATTGTACAAAAATTATCTCAGATAAGAGAGGTGAGACACCAAGTTTGCCAATGGGACGTGGGACAAGATTCATGCAGCCCCTGCAGATTCCTGAAAGGTATTCATACTAGCTCTGTGACCTTGGGCAAGTTAAGCCACCTTGCTGGCTCAGTTTTCGTATTAAAAATGAACCTGGTGAATTAGGCTATCAGCTGTAAGGTCCCTTCTACCTTTTAAAATTGCTGTTCGCCTATGAATCTTCTATTCTCACACTCACCAAACATAAGGACTCTTCTAGCACTTGTTAATCTTTTCTCTCACCCACACATTCAAATGGAATTAAGTGTCAGTTACGCACGTGACAGTTACAGCTTCGGGAGGCATGGAAATAACGTTTAGGAATTTATGATCCGGTTGGGTTAATCAGTAGTTCGTACACGAGGCAGTAAAGTAACAGAATGAGGGTGGCGTTGCCTGAAAACCAAAATGAGATGCGTAGCAAATCTGACTCCAGGGCAGGGCAGTTCATGGTGGGGAGGGGGGATGACCGTGAAATCACCTTCTAAGAACTTGAAGATAAAGTTATCTTCTGTAAAGTAAAATAGTAGCTTACAATGAGGTTAGGTATCTGTAGAAGTAACCAAAGAGACCTTCTCTTAAGAAGGTGTTCCACAGTAAAAAAGACTCAAGCAGTGCCTGGGTGGTTCAGTCTGTGAAACCCCTGGCTCTTGATTTTGGCTCAGGTCATGATCCCAGGGTTGTGGGGTCAAGCCCCGTGTTGGGCTCCGTGCTGAGCACAGAGCCTGCTTGGGATGCTCTCTCTCCTTTTCTCTCTGCCCTCTGCCACATGTACACATGCACGTGCTCGGTCTCTCTTTCTGTATCTCCAAAATAAATAAATAAATATCATGATTGAGGTGATTTGGAGGTTAAAGAGACAGAACCTTGAGTCCTGACTCGAAGGCTCTTCTCCCCAATCCTGCATCATCCCCTACATTCAGTGAGCGTCATCCATTGTGGACCTCAGCATCTGCAGCATTGTTCTCTGAACTTTTAAAAACTCTTAACATATCACTATGTGAGCGTGGTGCCCTCTCTTCGTTTTGCCAGTTCCTGGATCACCACGCGGGGATTTGAATGCATCAAGACCTCTCCTCATTCAGCTTCTTCTTTCCCTCCTGATCCGTCGTCTGCCTGAAGGTTCCACGATCTTCCGTCTATCTGCCATCTGGACGCCATGATTCACTGCTTCTTCCATTCTGTTCCCATGATTCTTAAGTTTCCAACCGTTTGTCCTTCTGTACCATATGACCCAGCATTCCCACCCTTGAGCCAGTGTCTGTCTTCTCCACTCCTGTGCCTGTTCTGGTCGAGAAAAGCCCACAACGACGTACACAGGCACCGTCAGAAATTCTGGGGTTCTGAGCCCTCAGAACAGTTGGACTATCCCTTCTTGTCCTGCTCCTTCATTGATGACTCACGTCCCCATCGTACATCCACCTGTTCCTCAGGCAGTAGGCTTTCCCCTTCATAGAGAAGATTGAAGCCAAGAGCATATGTATTTCAACCTCCTACACCTACATGTGGTATATACACCACATCTGTTCCTTCTTACCTTCCTGTCTGTCCTTCTGGGAGAAGTGTTATCTCTCCATATAGGCCCTGACCCAAATCTTTGTACCTCCTACAAGGCCATCGTTCCCATACTCTCTGTTGCATCTTTTATCCTCTCTTCTGTCTTTTTGGCTTTTTTTCTACTCCTTCCCTTCAGTCCTCATTGGCCTTTGAACCTGTTCAAATAGATCTTCCGGAACAAACACACAAACGATTAGAGGTCCTTCTGCTGTCTGCTGTTTCTTTTCTCTTCCTGCATTTCTGTGCTACTTGAATGTTAATCTGTGTAATCGTCTCTCCTTCCTCACCCACCTTTGCGCTTCTGCCCCACTGTTGTATGAATCAATGCTCATCCGGGGAGGTCCTTGTTGCTAAATGAGTGACCTCTTATCAGTTCTCATCTCCCTTAATTTGGTATTTGACTGCCCTTCTCTTTTGGCATGTCTCCTTGGATAACTTTTTATCCTCTCTGATGCTACTGCCTTCTATTTCTCCTTGTACCTATCTGATCATTTCTTCTCATGACTCTCTTGGGCTCTGATTCTCGCTGGCCTTTTAGATGCTGAAATTCCTCAGCATCTTATCCTTGGCTGTCCTCTGCTGAACCTCTCTGCATAATCTCATCCCCTTCCTAGTGACCCGTGGGTGGATAAGCATGATACATGAGCCCAGCATAACTGAAGTGGAGGAGGGGTGGTTCCTCCGAAGAGCGGGGGCGGGGGTGGGGTGCTATTACCAGGAAAAGTGGGCCCGCAGGGCTGAGCCGACAAAAACAACAACGATCAGCCACATCACGTGTAAGTCATGTTTAGGTATCATCATCTTCCATGTGGAACTTCCCCTTTGACAGTTGAAAGGGGTTAGAGAGAAGGAATCCTGGTTAAGAGGAAATTAATCTGGACCTTGAAAGATAGCTAAGGCCTGACTAATGCAGAAGGGAGAAAGATTCTTGATTTGGAGAGAAGGGCACCAGGTCGGAAGTACGCAGAGGTTGTGCATACGTGTGAGGGAGTGGAGGGGGAGTGAAAAGATGAGCGGCCTGGCTAAGTACACCACTCACGCTAGAGAGAAGTGGAGAATAAGGTTGGGTGCGTGGGTGACCATTATGGGATGGGCGAGCAGATGAGTGTGAACTCATCCAGGCATTGAGGAGAGGTAACAGATGCTCTAGCAAAGTCCCTTCTGTAGGGGAAGAGACAGCCGGGGTGGTATGCAGCTAGGATTGGAGGCACTCAGACCATAAGTAGGGAGGTCACTGAGGAATTTCTTAATGCCTCATGTTGCAAGTAGGTGATCTCCTGGGCTAGGATGACGAAAAGAAAGGATATAAGAGAATTTCAGAAAAAGCCTAGGCAGTATTTGACAACTTGCTGAATATCCTAGGGGTCCTAGTGAAATAATTCAGCTTTTGATTCGGCGTCCTCTAAGCCGTGCATTCAACAAATATTTTGGAGCCCTACCTGCCATGCCCATTGCTTTGAACTCGATACCACAAAGGATTTAAAGATAAATCAGATACAGTGTTGGATGTCAAGTTCCCTGTGTGAGAGGAGAGATACTTGTTTACATAAATAGTGCTACTATGGGATAGAAGGTGGCAAAGCCCAAAAAGAGCAGGGCAGAGGAAGGATGTTATGTGGTCTAAATACAGAGCGGTCACTTCTTGTTGTTAAGGGGACAAGCAGGTTTGCTATCTCCTTATCGAACTGTGCTGTTTATAAAACTTTGTACCTGAACTACTTCAAATGATCCTGTTGTCTGCTTTCCTTTGTCCATGTGTGTATGATGATCTATTTACCCATTCCTCTCTTACCTCTTCTATTGTTCCGTATCTATCACCTATCTATATATCGTGTAAGTATTCTTTTCACAAATCCTTCTATATACAAATAATCATATGTGATTATGAGTACTTTCCTTTCTTTTTTAAATGTTTCCATATTTTAAATTCTTATACAACAAGGGTGCCTGAGCGGCTCAGACGGTTAAGCACCAACTTTGGCTCAGGTCATGATCTCTCAGTTCGTGGGTTCAAGCCCTGCGTGGGGCTCTGTGCTGACAGCTGAGCCCGGAGCCTGCTTCGGATTCTGCGTTTCCCTCTCCATCTGTCCCTCTCACACTTGCACTCTCACTCTTTCAAAAATAAGTAAACATTTAAAAATTTTTTTAATAAAAAAATAAAATCTTATGCAACAAATGTACATGGTTTTATAATTAAGGAAAAAATACAAGGGAAAAAGAAACGAAGGAAAACAGCATCCTAGTAATATGCTGGTGGCTCTGTGAATGTGAGTCCTTCAGCATTAGCAGTGTCGTCTTCACGCTAAGCGCCCATCCTTCTATGAACTTCCCACTCTGGGTATGCCATTTTTCTCCACCTCAGTAGCTTCTTTAGTGTCCGAGGTCCCGAAGCGTACACTTGGAGATGCTGGAGCTCGGCCCCCTTCTTTCTCTCCGGGACTCCTGAGGTGGCCAGGCTGTGTGCAGAGGGCTGGAAGAGACACCCACGTCGATGTCAGCCCAGGGTCTCCCATCCGGGTACTGAGAGCCGCCATCTTGCCCACACAGGCTGTCCCAGCCGGGTACTGAGAGCCGCCATCTTGCCCACACAGGCTCTCCCATCTGGGTACTGAGAGCTGCCATCTTGCCCCTCTCCAGGGCCGAGCCCGAGTGCCAGGACCATCGCCACACTGCCAGGCAGAAGGGGCTGCCTCTGGACCAGAGGGACGAAGACTGGGATGCCAAGAAAAGGGAGCTGGAGCTGTCTCTTCCCTCCTCGAATCAAAAAACTAATAAGAAAAAGATTAAAAAAATCCGAGGCCCCACCAGGCTGAGCCATCCCAAGGAGAGGAGAATGTGAGGACAGCGTTGGTGGCTCTGGCACCCATGTTTTCGGCGGAAATAGCTTTCCCTGGCACCAGACTAGGAGTGGTTAGATCTGTGCTGTCTTTACATGATTCTAGAGAACATTCTGTAAGACCATTCTGTAGACCCGCCTTCTACCGGCAGCTCATGACCTGTCATTCAACCCAAAGCCTTGCTGGGTGTTCCCTACAGGAGCTGCTGCCTCCTTGCTGATCCAAGCTGTCCACAAGTATTGCCAGGAAGGGACAAGTGTTAGCTGCTTGTGTTTGGCCACGAGTCCTTTGCACTGTCAGCACCCCGTGACCCACTATATGCAATTATTGAGTTACAGGGGGCAAAGAAAAAGCTCTCCCTAAGGAAACTGGATTGTTTCAATGAAAAAGAAAGTAACAATACAATCCCAATAATTTCCAACCTACTCAGTTCAGTTAATCTCTGAAGAAAAAAAAAAAAGGTATTTGTTATCACGTAAAGCAAGCAAGGAGGTGAACAAATGTAGCTCCCAGTTTCCAGCTTTTTTTTTTTTTTT